TTTGATACAGAGCTCTCGGAGCCTGAGCAAATTATGCTTATTAATAATATAAAATAATTATATTTTCCTTTGGAAAATAATACTGTAAGCCGCAAAAAATCATATTACGAAACAAAATGTTCAATTTGCATACATCGCACGAGCATGAAATGCCATATTTCTTATTATATATGATTCATCCCATATACAATTACAGTTGGCTAATCCTTTCATTGTTTGCTTAAATTAAACGCAAAATCATAATTACTAAACGCAATAAGAGTATGAAACAAAATATAGTATAATATCGTAAATGAATTTTTGATACAGAATTTTCGGGGCTTGAGCAAATTATGCTTATTAATAATATAAAATAATTCTATTTTCGTTTGGCAAATAATACTGTAAGCCGTGAAAAAAATTATATTACGAAACAAAATGTTCAATTTGCATACATCGCACGAGCATGAAATGCCATATTTCCGTAATGGCTTCGATGAACGGATATCAGAACGCTGTTTACACAGGAACTTCTACGTTCCCATCGCGATCATGTTGATTTTGATTACACGTTTCATAGTTCGATTTATGGAATTCGATATTACAGTTCCGACCATCTGTATGCGATAAAGTATCGTTCGTGCCTGTAAACGCAGGCTGCTAGAAACGGAGCGTGATCTGTGTCAGAATAATTTGCAAGTAGCGCGAAAATATCCAAATAAAATCGTTCTTCTACGAAAGATTCTTCGCGCGAATGGATATTTAAACGTTATTGTTATAACATTTATATTTCACGAACTGCCTGAATATTCTAAATATTCTAGATTATCGAGAGGAAGATTTGATTCCATCGTTTCAATGTATTATAGAAACGTTCGAAGGAGAAATAAACTTTCAATTTCAAGAAATTTCATAGAACAATGCGAACAAATGTCGAAAATCCAGTTACAGGAGAAAACGGTAGGACCAAATAGCAGACAGAGGTCCGTTTCGCTCGTTTAATACAGTGGCTCGCATTAATATTCGGACACGATATTGTTAGAAGAATTATTGCTCCTTTTTATTGTTTGTGATATTATTATTGAATCAATTGTTTCCTCATATAATAAAGCACTTATTAAAGTAAGTATTTGAAATGTTTAATTCTGTATTTACTTTACGCCGTACCATTTTTCGACTGTCGGATCCGTAAAGATTAAATTTGCTTTCATCCGAAGATATTACATCATTCGACCATCAGTTGTCTTTGTAAAAATATTCTGTTGCAAATTTAAGACCGACAGTGAAATACGGTAATAGGAGTGTAATAGTGAGGGGCTGTATCTCGTCTGTAGGTGTAGGTAAACTAGTTTTTATCGATGGTATTATGGACAAAATGAAGTATTTGGACATTTTTAGAAAAAAATTTAATTTCAAGTGCTATAAATATGGGTATAGGTACAGTTTTAAGTTTTATCAGGACAATGATCCTAAACACAAGGCCAGAATTGTACAGGAATATTTATTATACAATTGTCCAAAAGTACTGCATCCTCCTCCTCGATCTCCTGATTTAAGTACAATTGAAAATTTATGGTGTCAATTGGACCGCAAAATTCATACAACAGCTTCAAAGACAATAACAGAGATAAAACAACGTTTGTTAGACGAATGGAAACGAATTTCGCCGGATTATTTAAATAAAATCATCTGTAACATGCCCAAGCGATTACACGAAGTAATAAAACAAAAGGGTTAACCGATAATATATTAATATTATGATAACATGATTAAAAAGATTTTCATTTTATATAAAATTCATGTAATTCATTCACTGTCCGAATATTTTTGCGACGTTAAATTTTGTCACGATCTTGTTTATCGCTTATTATACAAAATAATATGTGCAATAAATAAACAAAATTTATGTTTCTACTTACTTTAAGAAGTGCTTTATTATATGAGAAAACGATTGATTCAATAATACTATCATAAACAATAAAAAGAAACAATAATTCTTCTAACAATATCGTGTCCGAATATTAATGCGAGTCACTGTACATGTTTACAAAGTATTCTACTCACTCGGCACTAGAAGCTACGCTCCACCCTGTATAACCATTACATTTTATCGATTTAGTTATCGCACGCTTACTTGATTTTCTCCAACAAAGAAAAACAACAGAGAAAGCGAGGGATAGAAAAGTCAGAATAACATGTGCGCATATCATCGATTTTATGCAAATAAAATGCTAAACGGTGTACAGAACGTTCCATCGCGCAAATTACGGGTGCGGTACGCAGGAAAACTCGCGCAAGTGCGTTCAAGCGATTTCCAGCGAAAAAATATCAGTTTTACTTTTATGTCCGATAGATTGAATACAGATCGCTGCGAAATCTGCAATTTAGTTATTAATCATCATTCCCGTGCTTCGTTTTACTTTTAAATGAGAGTTTATCCGTTGCAAAACGATTAGTATTTAAATGATTATAAAACGCGTAACATTTTTGACACAAATACGTGCTTATATTTCATGAAATTACTTTTCCGTAGCACTCTGTGTCAGAAGTGTCCTCCATATTTGGTCAAAGCTTATGCCACTCGATCGTGCATTATTTGTGGCAGTTGTTATCGATCGCCGTTTACCGCTGATGTTACGGCTGTACAAACCGCGTAAATATTTAATACCTGCAAAACGCTTAATCGATCGCTGTCATTTCGTTGCTCGCGGTAACAAAATCTTTCGTAATGCATCCGTGCAGATTTTGGAAACTCGAGGAAACGTATACATATAATCGATTCAATTATGAATCGTACAATGAAATTCTTCGAGCTCTCTATTAACCCCTTAATGCACAATTTAAAAAAAAAAACCGACCAAAAAAAATCAATTTTTTTTATCTAAGAAAATACATATTTGGACCTTAATTTCAATAAATATGTAAAAAAAATGCAAAAATTACTAAAAATTCAATAAAAATAGTGGATAAATAATTATAGTGAATATTGAATCGCATTGCAGATCGAATTTTGTACCCATCGTACTGTTTTTCAATTACCAGTTACTATTTTGAAGGGGAAGGAGGAGACGAAAAAAAAAACTGAAAAATATTTAATTTTACCTAAATTTGTAATAATATAATAATAATATTTATTAGCTGAAAAATATATAATAAACTAAAACTATTCAAAATTTTCTTTTGTATGGTAAATTTCAAAACAAGGTGCAGCACATAGCCCAACATTCCTTATTTCAACATTAGAAAACATACCTTTTATACACTAAAAATCCAATTTACTCTCTATAAAAATACACCATAAAACAAAAACGTTTTTATATGTTGACACTAATAATATTTGTAAAAAATAAAAAACAATTGTCTTTGAAGAAATTCACTTTGATAACGTCTACTTTACTTCACGACTTGCTCACGAATAATACACTAAATGTTCATAAGTGCCATCCTAAAAGTGCATACTTTATTCCTGAATAAGCAAAAAATAGAAAGAGATCGGAGATAACTGGAGAGTAATAAATAAATTAGTCATAACAAAACTCACAAAAGTGCCAACGCTAATTAGATACGCAATAATGGATATAGATAGATAGAAACAATTACCAGGTCAGAGATGCTTATAAGTGTCACCCTAAAAGGCCATATTTTATAATCCCAAATAAACAAACTTTACAGCTTACAATACAGAATTACACGATGAATATCAATAAATTGAATGTTTTCCTTGGTTTTTATTAAGTTATTTTTACTGCCCGGATATATTCGAATCTGAACATTTTAGCGACATAAGTTGCGACGCCGACCGTATATATACGGGTCTGCACATTTTGGCCGGTTTTGCACGCCCGTGTTAATACGTTTCTGCGCGTTAAGGGGTTAAACTGAACTAAAAACAATCGTCTATAAAATCCAAACTAACCTCGAAACTCTACATTATAGAAAACTTTATCGTGTTTATTGAATAAATAAATCATTTACACAAAATCTAGCCTGGTTCCCGTTCGAAATACTTGCTATTGTTAAAAAAAAAAAACACGCAAGTATTATCGAGTTTTCAATACGAATCATAGATCTTGAAGAACAATGCAATAATCGCCGGTGGAACAATTGGAATAATTGCCGAGAATTGTTTCTCCGGGCGTTTCACGCCTAGACGGGTCGTGTGAAATTTATGCGAGCGCTTGCGAGGGATCGATGAGAATCGTCGCGATAAGAAACGATGCCGTAAATTGGCCTCGCCGCTCGGAACCTCGGTGAACCACAACGTTATCGATATATCGATATATCGATATATCGATGTAATAGAGCCACTAAAGAGGCACTAGACGGAGACGTGCTAAGATCGACGCAACTGGTGTCTTTGTATTCACGGGATTCGAGCTGGTCTAGAGTCTAGAGTCTAGAGTCTAGAGGAAACCGAACGTATTCCTATACCGGCGACACTCCTCCGCTCTCTCGTCACCCCTCGTGCTCATAATTAAGGTTCTCCGTCGAACGCGAACGCCAGCAGAGAACAGGAACAGGTATTCAACGATTCGAGTGCTCGCGCTACTCCTTGATGCCCCGTTCGGAAGAATTCGGGATGCTTACCGACAATCAATCGAACCGGAATCATTGTTGAATATTCGCGAAGGAAAGTCAGAGTAACGGAGAAAATAATACGATCATTTTCATGCTGTTTCTCGAAAATGTTATTGAACTCTTTATAAGCGTTCTGCGCTGGTTTACAGGGTGTCCCAAAAATGTATCGTAATCTGCAAATGGGGGGTTCCTCGGGTCATTTGAAGTAACTTTTTCCTTTACGGAAATGTTCTCCGAGGCATTGTTTACGAGTTATTAACGAATAAATACTGACCAATAAGAGGCGAGCTCGGCCGTCTTGCGCCAGTCGAGCCAATGAACGGAACTGAGCGTCGTGCGCTCGTTGGTCTCGCGCCAGCCGAGCTCGCCTCTCATTGGTCTCTGTTTTTTCGTTAATAACTCGTAAACGATGCCTCGGAGAACATTTTTGTAAAGGAAAAAGTTACTTCAAATAATCTCAGGAATCCCGTTTCCGGATTGCGAGACATTTTTGGGACACCCTGTATACGCTATGGTCTTGAAGATCGCTAAAATCACTACCAGAATTATTTAGCACTCTGATGAGCTTCGTGACGATGCTATCAAACCTTTCGATATAATTTAAATAAATTCTAGAACAATTATTCTTGCACTATTTCGTAATCGAACGCGGAATTCTAGTCCCTCCGTGAAATGTGAAATGAAATACATTCGACTCGTGATTAAAATCGTTGATTCGCGATGAATCAACGATCAAATGTAATACTGCTCTTTCATGAATGATCATTAAGAAGATACATGGTCGTAACATTTATAACTTGGATTACCCATGGTGTTAATGTAATTGTGTTGGCAACTAACCCCGAATGTGTATGAATGCTGTCGCGTTCTCAAATTATTCCGCATTGGTTCGTGTTTTTTGGTATTTCATATTCTATTAATTGTTGTTTCCATTTCTCTTTCTACAATCAGCCTGTGCACTGTTCTTCTAATTAACGTCCGTTATTCGTATCGATAATTCTTTAAAAATTCGACTACTCTGTCTCGTGGTTCTGTAAATAATCCTGTCTTTCTAATTTCAAAGTTCTCGTATCCGTGAGATTACATTAAACCTTTGAACGCACTTATCTGTACCACTGATTTTTATTCGCAAAAAATACGATATTATTCGCACACGATTATATCACATTATGTTATATTACTTATACAATTAAATCATTAACACGATTAAATCATTTCTATATACACGGTTGAATAAATAACGTCGCTTCAAAGGTTTAATCTCCTCGTCTGTAGCCGATGTTCTCTGAATGGAATTCTGTCAAATCACGATTTCGAGGACAATGTTCGAAGCAAGAAAAATGCACGAGACTGTTCTGCTAGAAAATATTCTTAGCCCACGACGACTTTCCTCTTTTATAATCACGCGTAAAATGCCGAAAGCTTGATGTAAATTTTGCAAATAATATATCAGAAATTAATAAACGCTACCGGGAACATGTTAATAATAATTTTCGCAAATATCGATTATGACGAACACAGTAATTATTTATTTAAATCGTCGAATTAGTCCGCTAATCAAGCCGGTCTATAATTCTGTTTCTAGTCAGCTGCATAATTATGTTAGCGTGAATTTTACAGTGAAATTTTCTCGTCCGATTTTTCAGTAGCTACGGTACCAGTTACTGAAACTACGGTACAGTCAAAATTGTCGAGCCGAAGTATAAGCATAGTTAATCGAAAAATCCGAAGAATTTGCATGGTAAAGACGGAGGTCGGAGAAATTGGACGCGGTCCAAAAACTGCGGCACGGCGCGTCAGTTACGCGTTGCTACCGGAGCTTTCCTCCGTGAAAGTTTCATGGGGAAAGAGCAGGTCAGGGCAAGGATTTCGTAGCCTGCCTCGGGGACCGTCGCGACGTCGTCTTAGTCGTCGTCGTAGTCGGCGTCGGAGTCGGTGAGAACTTCGCAACAGTTTTCTTGTTTTCGAGAATCTCGAGGAAGTCACCGTGCATTTTTCTTCCCTCGTCAACTTTGCCTCTCCCCGTCTTTTGCGACTCTTCTAAGCGATTTATGCGTTCAATTCCCGGGGTCGTGGCTCTTCCTCTGTATATAGGTACATTCCTTTCGGTTAACTTTCCGTATTCTCGTCTCTGATAAATGATGCACGTCGAAAAATCATTTTTATCGTGTCCCAAGTGGATCTTATTTAAAAGTTTCGCGACATCGCGGGGATACGGTCTCAAAATTGACTACCGTCAAGTCAGATGTACATGGTGTTCCATTCGAAGCAAACACGCAATTGTCTCGCAATTATTCGCAAATTATTCTTTCACGACTTTCGTAACGGTGACCTATGTTTCGTCAGACTTTCTAGTCTAGGATCTCTTTGGTGGTCGAGTTTGTCGTGCTAGAGCTACTTTGTCATTGATCATTTTGTGGGAAAGAAAGGAAATTAATATTCATTGTATCGTAATGTTTAATAGAATTATTGAAATGTGAACCAAGAAATCAATCTTAGCTTCGTTGGTAAAATATAATCCTTTCTATACCGGATAAGAGTTATTTTCTCAAACAGTGTTGTTCTTGAATTAGAGTTAATTGAAGTTAGAGTTAGTGTCGAATTGAAGTTAATTTTCTTACGAATAATTTCTGAGATTATCGCGTGATTCATTCGAAATGGAACATTTTGTATATTCTAGAAAATCGTGTTGATCAACGTAAAATCATTTTTATTCACACGACTGTACGTTTTCAAGGAAACTCATTTTGGAAATTTATCCGAAAATATTCAAAATCGTACGGCACAATTTACTGACGTCGATAATTATGTGTGAATAATTGCGAAAAGGATAACACGTTTAACCCTTTGCACTCGAGTGGTGACTCTGAGGCACCGTTAAAATTGTTATATCACGTTCCAAGATAATTGTTATATTATTAAAGTTTAGATTTAAAAAGATCATTAAAAGCCTAACTGTTGTATGAATCGCGAGACTCGATTTCATATGCACAAAATGCACTTTGTCATATAAAATGGAAATGTGAACCAGAACGATTGTTTTAGATTCACAGTTCAAGCGGCTTCGAGTGCAAAGGGTTGAAAGATATGAACTATTCTGGCACGTTCTTTGCTCTCATCGAATCATTGTCAGTACTTCTCTCAAGTGAATAGAGTCGGTATTGATCGGACACATTACAGAAACTCGGCGTACTCGGTGTATCTTGAACGATTTACAGCTAAAAATGTAAGTTCGCGCGTAAAAATTCGAGCTCAACCGTAATACAAATTATAATCGACCCGTCGCGTCTGTAATTTGCAGTCAATTTGCCGCTAATCGAGGTTTATTCCCATTAATTGCTATCAACAAGCACGGTTTAGCAAAATATCCTACGATAACATCTTGACGATCGTTAAATAAACATTTGTTCGCGCGCCTGTTTTATAGCCGTAAACGTTAACTTTACAAGTAACTTAAAACACGAACTCGTAATATCTGTCGTTAGTACTGTCTTTGATGTTCACGAAAGCCCTCGTCGCTGTGATTTCACAATCGTCGGTGCAATATTAAGCCGCTTTCGATCCACGAAACAATACTCTGTGTTAATGATTCTCGATGCTTCAAGTTTTCGATGTCTCGAGTTAAACACTTGCCACTTGTACGACGATGTTCGCGCACGAGCTTCTTAAATTCCACGTCTAAGCGGATTCGTGTCTTCTTCACGTGACATATTCGAAGCGATCAAAGATTCCAAGTACGAGTACTCCTTCGATCTGTAGTGGAGCTCTCGATGTGCCCGGTTTTCACGAATGGGTACTTGCTTGCTTAGATAGCACTTGGCTACCAAGATAATGCGCGCGGGGAATGGCTAGTCCAAACATAGTTTTACACGTATAGCATGGCAATTCGCCATAGGAAATTCGGATCGAAATATAATACTAAATTTTTCCGCGCAGAGAGATCTATTTAAATATTCATTGGAATCGAATGCTATTAAAAAAGAACTTGCTTATTTACGCTTACATCTTTTATTCTAGATCGGAGATAAAATCGTTGATATTAAAATCATGCTTGCTTCATTTATTAGAAGCTCGAATTGCGATTTAGAAAAAATATAAAAACTCGTCTTCTGCTAAATTTGCCACGAGCGAAGCATTAGTTTACAAAAAAAAAGTATTATTCTGAATACTAAGATAGACTAGAAATTGCAATTACGATTAAAGGTCGGGGGTACAATAATGTCTCTCTAATTGACGCCCAGATTGCGCACAAAAATGGACAATTTGGGAAAAGCAGTTACGATTATTCGTGCCTTGCGGTTTATTTTTATAGTTATAAATTAATTGATCGCAATTATAAAAACGAGCCGCAAGGCTCGAATAATCGTATCTCCTCTTCCCAAATGATCTATTTTAGTGGACAATCTGGGCGTCAGTAAGGGAGACATTACTGTACTTCAATTTCCCCTAAACTAGTATCACGTTTAGGTTGTCGTAACGATTAGATTAGTAATCGCCCAAGGACCTCGAAAAACCGCCGGCGGCAAGCGAAATGACGCGAGTCAGTCTCCTACGAATTCTAAATAATTAAAAAGGCCGCGATTAATACCCTCGGAAATTTGTAGCGCACGCAACGGCGAATTTCTCAGTTCGAATCGGCCATTTCTTGGCGGCGGTAGTGCAGTAATGTCTCTCTAACTGACGCCCAGATTGCGCACACAAATGGACAATTTGGGAAGTGGAGACACGATTGTTCGAGCCTTGCGGTTTATTTTTATAGTTAAATAAATTGTCCACAATTACATTAGGTCTACCGGAAAGTTCTGTCTGATAGTGTCATTGCAAATTTCAATAGATACGCACATATTCGTGTGAGACATATATTTTTGAAAAATGTTGCTCACAAATTGCCATCACGCTGGCAACAGGTCATAAGTAACGACGGAAATTATGAAAAATTTATGAGAAATCTATTATTTCCTTTCATTTCTTAAACGGACAGAACAACTTTCCGGTAAACCTAATAAAAACGAGCCGCAATGCTCGAATAATCGTCGTATCTCCTCTTCCCAAATTATCCATTTCGGTGGACGATCCGAGCGTCAGTAAGGGAGACATTGCTGTATTTTCTTGCGACAAGTCGCTCGGACAGGGAAAACACCAGGAACCGGGAGCTCCATTGCGGAGACACGAATTTTTCGACGTGCACCAAAAAAACTCTGTTCGTGATAGTCGACCGGATAGTCAACAAGTTGGTCTTTGTCTCCCCGTAAATCTCGTCGTTAACGAATCTCTTTTCAAGCATCGCGTCCATGAACGATCCGTTGAGTCCAGGTACGAGCAACTGCTCATGGACGTCCTGTAGAGAGGGTTGCACCAAGGAGCTGTACGATTGCACGCAAATACGCGTCAACTACAAGCTACCGACTAACGTGTCTGAGGATAGCGACGGACAGGTTGAGGGAGGTGGAGCGGTAGGAGGTGTCGAGGATGACGAAGACAGCACGACGATGGGAAAACCGCGTTACGAGCGCTCCCTCAGGGAGTACGATTACGTGGAGGAGGACGACTTCCCCGAGGACGATGAAACCGGACTGCCGAAACCCTTCCCTACAGGTATAAGACGACGTCCGGATGTGTCTGTAATCTGTAACGTCGCATAATTAACAAAACTGCACGAACCTATTTAGCGGAGAAGTTCGACGTTCAACGTTCGCGTCGTTTAACCCTTGGACGGCGGACGGATTTCACGACTCTCCGTGCCAGCCGTTTGTCACGTTCCAATTTGATCTCACAGATTTTTGTACATTTACATTTTGCCACTTTGAGTGCCGCGTCTCACGGAAATCGGAGCAATCGTTCGTTCGGATTAAACGCCAAATCGAAGCAGTTAAAGAGTATGAAATCTAAATGGAGCGAGAAGATCGAGTTTAAGCGGTTTTTCACAATGTTTGGTGTAACAGTTGCTCCGTGTAATAACGTTATTTATTTTATCATTTATTTTGTCATGACAGAGTCTTCGTAATTTCTATAATTGTAAAATGATGAACCGGTCATTTGACGATAGTAAGTTTTGTGTTCGAGATGAACTTGCGCCAGAAAGCTGAACTCTTCAATCTTTTCCTTCCCTCGAATAGATGGAATTTGATTTTGAAATTTAGACGAGAATGTGTCGGGATCATAATCAACCGCCATCGAAGTGTTAATTTAGACAGCTCGCATGTGTGCATAATGGAGCGATGCTTGGCGAGAATTGTTCTTGAGGCAGTTTTTCGAATTGCAGCTTAATTCGAATAGATTCTCGCGAGCTGCCTCGAAAGATCTCAAGATCAATTCTCGCCCAGTAAGGACGAACCTCGCTCTAATGCACAGGCCTAACAAGAGAAATATTTGGTTAGCTCATGAACGTGCTGGCTTCTCGCAGTATGTTTCGCACGAAGAGATGACCTATGTCACACTACGGTTGACCTATGTTCCTCTTTACCTTGGCTATAGCCTTAAGTCATTTCTGTTTGAGAACCTCGACTGCATCGCGTGCTAGTCCATTTTTTTTCTTTACGAGAGAGAAAGTTCAGCTATTCGTCGAGAAAATACAAATCTGAAAAGAAATCTGAAAAGAATCCCCGCGTTAAAAGATCCCGGCGTCAACTATATCCGACCGATCTAACAAATTACTATCGGCGAGTTGAGACAACGTTGATCCTAGGCCTTCGCTAACGAAGATACATTTAATTCGGCAATTAATTCCAGCAGCGTTCGATTCGTAATTTCGTAAATCTGTTCGGGCGGAATTCGTAACACAGTGCGAAACAGTTTCCGTTCGCTCCAATTCACGATCATGAAAGTGTGCAAAGTTCTCTAAACTGGAATTTCGCGAACGGTCGAGTGGCGAACGGTGTTCCAGCGGCCATTATGATTGCGGCACTCGAGACCACTCGACACGTTTCCGCTAACGAAATATAATAGGAAAATTCCTCGGTGTTTAGATTACGGAACCTTAATAACCCAGCGAAAAGCAGGATGTCGGGTATGTCTCCGTTTCTCTCACCCTCCCAGCCTCCCCCCTCGTCTGTCCCTTTTCCTCGTTCCTAGCACGCGCGAGACACACCCCGACAACGTCCACTTTCTCTTATATGGAAAATCTGTCCGCGGACACGGTCCGGACGATAACGAGGCGAAGTTCGCAGGTCTCATGGGCAACGACTCCGAGTGGTATTTCACCGGGGCCAAGCTGTTCCCCAACGTAAAAGGCTGTGGATACCCTCCAATGCTGAATTGCAGTATTTTCTACCGGCAGTACTCCATCATAGGGCAGAACTTTAGCTGTTACTACTCGAAAGTGGACCCCGGGATAGTCATCAGCGACCTCGACATGTGGCAGGTCTCGACGATTTTCTATGTCATCTTTGTCTATCTGCCTGTTCTATCATGTTCCGTGCTGTGCGTGTGCGTGTGCGTGTGCGTGGCCCGGAAGCTTGCGCCCCCCCCCCCACTTCCCCACGCGACAGGGCCACGCAACGCGCGCCCACGTGTGTCATTTAATTCACTTTACTTTGCGTTTCAACACTTACCTCGTAATACTGTCCAGAGCCGGAAATCCATCAGCCTAATCCCTCCCTTGATTCGGTCTACTGGTACAACGATTCGCCTGTCTTTTAGCTGAATTGCAACTGCCAGTGGGAAGTAGCGAGACAACGGAGTGCATCATTGCCTTGTCTTCAACAATGACAAATTTTCTAAGCATTCGGTTCGATAATGAACATTTCTAGCCAACTTATTTTTATTGTGTTTAGCCCTTAGCACTCCGAAGCGCTATACAACCTTGATATAACCTTGACATATCTTTGCTATTTAATACGTAATAATTTGCGAAACCATGCTAATATTATTCTCGTTTATTGTACTGTCCCATTCAGAAGTATCATTGTTTCTTTCAATATCGCCAAGTTACCGAAGGGACAAAGTACGATTTGCAGAAAATCGAACAAAATGGCACGTAAATACAGGATCAGGTTAACCCTTGGCGCTCCGAAGGCTCCGCTACGGAGACATTTGTCATTTATACCGTAACTCCGAAGGCTCTGCTGCGGAGCCAAATGTTTTTAGCATACCTTATCGTCGGCGTTAGCAATTGTTATCTGTAGTTAAAACGTGCTAAGTCTGTACCGTTACGATTAAACCATTTTTTGACCTTTTCTATGGTTAGCAACGTGGAGAAAAATAAATATTACGATGAGAATTTAGAGCCGAGCGATACCGGAGACGTATTTGATTTTGAAGAGTTAAGAGACATTGTGGAAGACAATGTTGGTTATGATTCTGACACTTCGAGTAGTAGCAGCGAAATTATACTACCAAAAAGACGAAGAATGAGAATTATTGAAAGCGAAAGCGAAGATTCGTTACAAGACTTGGATGAATGACGTGATGTTACGGAAGAATTACATATTCCAGATAGAATACCTTTCAGTGTATTGCCACAGGTCGTTGGACCACAAGTTCCTACGAACATCGAACAGCCGATACAATATTTTAAATTATTTTTCACGGACGAATCGGTAAATGAAATGATAAAGGAAACCAACGATTACGCAGAAAATGTTCTAAACTTGAAAGAAATATCTAG